TGGTGTTCAGATAAAAAACTTCCCCCACCCCAATCCAGTGCTGGAGGTCCATCTAGAATGGAAATTCAATCAAATTTATAGCTTTGCCAATTCCATATAAAATTACAGCTATAAATACTGAGAATATTTGCATTAAAAACAAATATTCATTCAAATCTATTAAAATAGCGTTAATAATGACGCCCAGATCACTCTTCCCCGCCCACAAGGACTCTACCCCTGGACACCGGTGGAGAGGCACCCTAGGCCAAGTTTGGTCCCTTTCCCTGGAAAAAGAACCTCTCCACCCATTCACAACAGGCCTGTTTAAAGATGTAATTGTCCCAAGTAAAATAAATAAAAAATCTTTATAATTATTTTTGAAATTAACTTGCTCATTTTGAAGTAACATCAAAATTATCAACTTCAACATGATAGAAATTTGTACATTTTAAAAATGTTTACCCACAATTTTACAGCAAAAAATGATAAACACACTTCCAGTCACTGGAAGTGTTTTATTATTTTTATTATAATTATTCACTATAAAAATAAGGGTACGCATTTTTTAAATTCAATAATTCCTATGCTCAAGCTAATATTAAATTGTATGTTAGTTTTTTGTTATTTTCAGGGGACAATACAAAACTTTAATAAAAATATATCTAAGGGTACATAGAAACAATTATTAGACAATCACTCTTTTCTTCTTTTTTTTTAAGTGATAAGGGTGGGCATATTTTTTATTTTATTTTTTTTTTTATCAGAACAATAGAATATTCCTTTTTTTTTTAATCGATGAGGGATAGACTGTTTTAATTTTTCACGAATATTGTAAATATTGTATAAAAACTGGTTTAATTTTATGGTTTTTTAAAGAAAATGTACTTCCAGTCACAAAATTGCATTGTTTTCTTTATGTTGATGAAATAAATGATGCTGCAAACAGAATTTTTTTTTTATTCCCGCATCAATATTTTCCAAATTTTTGACATGGGTGGGAGTGAAAATCTAACAGTTTTTTCTATGTGCCCTAATCACCCAAATGGATCTCCAACAACTAGAAATGCAACATCTTCTTCACTAGTGTTTTGAAATATTTCCTCTGAATTTTGCTCCACCATGTCCCGATCAGCCAAGATTACATCTTTTCCATAAAACTCCTCCTGAAATTAAGTTACAAAGTTAATGACAAATGAATGTACTCAACTTGTAACCGCAGGCTATTTCTGGCCCGTGAGTACATGTTATCCGACCTGCTTGAGCTACCATATAAATAATTATTGGCCTAGAGCATAGTGAAAAACAACTGCAACCTTTCACAACCTAAATAGTCGGCATCCCTTAATGATTAGAGGGCTTCTATTAGACCACAATGGAGCAATTGGAGCAATAACCAAAACAACGTTATTTGGATAGGCAAATTAATAATCGAATAAATATTGTTGGTCATGGCATCGGACAAGCAGGGTGGGCTATCCAACGGGGACAGCTGTCCCAATCCCCCCGCTGTCTGATAACAAATTCCATGACTTTGTCTATGTAAGGAATCATGGAAATTTATTCTGATTATTATTTTGTTTTAGTTCTCCCGAATTTCAAAAACTACAGACTAGGCTAGACCTAGATTGTAAAAAACATGGGATTCGCATGGCAAAGTACTTTAAATTTCTAGGCCACATGGATGAGAATATCTTATAAATTTAATATATTAATACACCTCTCGAAAGACGTTAATGCTATCAGAATATTTCGACGTTGAGGGCGATTTTCACCAATTGGTGGGAACGGTGGGCCCCCCCCCCCCTTTACCTGCATATTCTCCCGTCTCCCAATTTTTTTAGGTCTAATGGGTCTACCTAACGGGCTTCCTAGGGGTTGGAATGTCTGATGATTGATGTCACCATATTTGCATTAATTAAATAAACTGAATCAAAACAAAACGTATGTGTGGGCCTAGTACAAGCTATGTATATTCGGTAGTGCTGGTCCACTTGTGCTAGCTACCACTGCACTCTGAGCAGTGCTAGTTCCTAGGCCTAATGCTAGGCTAGTTGGAGGCCTTGTTGTTGTTGGCTAGCTAGGCCTAGCCTAACTACCTAGCCTAGGCCTGCCCTTGGTTGGTACTTCGAACGTTTCTTACCAGTTTGTCTTTTTCAACACCAAGAATGGATGTATACGCCTCTAAATAGACACGACTACATTTCTTGACAGTCTCAAGTCCTTTAACTGTTATATCTGTTGCATCACCAAGTCCTAACCCGACGAAATAAAGCATTTTCAGTCTTAAACACCGGCAGTCTCGTCTTGTTTACGTTCTGCAACTGCACCATGTGTCGTAGACTTGATGGACCAGACGCTAACATCATGCTTACGCTACAGAAAACTGACTCATATTGACACTTCTGAGTTACTACTGTATTAGAATATGGAGACGTATGGGAACAACGAAAAAAACGTTTTAAATGACCCTGCCAATAATGTTATTAGTTTATAAGTTTTTTTTTTCTTTCTTTATGATTATATGCATGGGCATATATTTGTGTAGTGTATTTGATGTGTATGTTCTCCATTATACATTGCCTTTACTTTATTTATTATTTATTTATTTTAGTTAAGATTTTATACTTATATTATATAATAATAATAATAATAATAATAATAATAATAATAATAATAATAATAATAATAATAATAATAATAATAATGTCATTATTGCATTTGGAATATTTTTATTTCATTATTATCTCTTTTTTATGAATTTTATCTTTACTTGTAACTTTTGATCTGTTGTATGGTCGAAACCTCTCCTGCATGAGAGTGTTCCTTTCAAAAGAGTGAACCAGTAATTTATTAATAGACAGGAGTCAAACACAACTGTATCTGATTTCGTGAAGAAAAAAAAAGTGTCCCATTAATAGGTGTGTTCTAAATGAGGGTTCTACCAACGATAACGACAACGACAATCCATTATATAATATGTATGCAAGATATTTTATTTCGTCAATCAAATATGCCTAGTATTTAGTTTATCAAAAATATAAATCTGCTCAATTGAAAGTATTAGAAACGAGATAAATAATCTTCTAAAAAGTAGTAATGACAGAATATTATTGTATAGCGCCTTCCATAATTACTTGCTTGATGTTTTGGGGTCGGTTGGTAAGCATAGCTTATATGACCCATCCAAAACTTCTTGACTCATCAAACTGTAGACGTTGGGGGTTTTCAATGAATAAAAATAGCATAAGAAAATGAATGATGACAATTAGTATTAAACTGTATATAAATGAAGTTAACTAAACTAATCTTGAAAGAAATACTTGTTAATCTATTTATTTCATTATTTTTAAGTATTTAGTGATCGTTAAGCAAAATTTTAAATTCATTTAAGCCGTCATTACAACATTGGATGGCAGGAATTAAGAGCGTTAGGGAATTAACCGCTAGAGCTAAATGAAAATTTTAGGACATCATTCTAGTCTAGCCTTGCTCTGTCTCTTATACACATCTAGATGTGTATAAGAGACAGCACCAACGGTACCTACCCTCTGGGTCCTCTATCTAACCAAGTTTATCCACTACAGCAGCAGCAATGTGTGATGATCAGTGGCTGATTAAAAAAATCACCCGCTACTTTTCCAAAAAAAATTAAAAAGAAGCATAACAAAATATATATAATTTTAAGTCTAAGAGTGCAACTTCTGGCCATCTAGAGGTGCCATAATCATAAATTTTCTTTCCTCAGTAAACTGTTTAATACTTCATATTGCATCTTGAGAAATCGATTAAGACGTCAAATAATTAAAAAAAAATGTCTGAGCTCCACTCCCTCGACCCCAGCAGAGCTCTGCCCCTTAGGAGTCCCCTGCCATTTTGGTCTACTCTCTACAAATTCGCACCCACCAAATAAACATCCTGCGTACGGACGTTTATGACGTGTTATCTTTTTGTGAAGTAATCACATTTCACGTTTCTTCCAAACATACAGAATCTTATATTTCTCCGGATTAAAAGGTAATGTAATGTACGTGACTATTCAAACATTGTTCAACGAGACCTGCAAATTACATCTGGATTTGTCATAATCCAAGACTTTAGTATCATCACCTGCAGATATTTGAACTTTTTTGCATATGTCGTCGGACGTACTGGAATATATATGAGACATCCAATTATTAAAAACGAATATTTCGGACACGTCTGTGTCTCTCCTCGTTAGGATCAGACAAAAACTCCCTCAGGCCCGTACGCAAGGTGGGGGGGGGGGGAGTGCGATGGGTACACCCCCCCCCCCAAATTACCAAAGGTCCATATTTTTAGGGGTAGAAAATTCAAGACATCTCCATAAATCCATCCACCAAAACTAATCAAAGCAGTTTCCAACTGACTGCCTCCAATTCGTCGTACGAACATCCTGGTCGTACAAAAGACTATTAACGTTATTGCTTTTGGAAGAACTTTAGTGTTTTCCCCGCCACTTACGTGTCAATGACTCACCGCGTACAAACATCTTCTTTCTAGGTTTCACTAAATTGGCCCAGAAGAATTTCATCTTTAGTTGAATATACTATACTAAAATTATCTTTAAATTCTCGTTTAATTCTGAGAGTGCCATCATCGGTCATCATAAGTTTTCTTACCTCATCCCCAACCATTGTGAGGCTGAGGTGTAATCGACTCCCATCTTTAAAAGTCCTTCCCTGGCCTCCACTATTTTGGATTAATTATTTTGCTTACCCTGTTCCCAATCAGTGCAGTATAGGCTTATTTTATACATTCTCGAGTTGATGATTTTGACGCGTACCCATCTCATCCACGAATATAAAGCGCTTCGTTCGTATTCACAATTTGCATTAATTGAATTTATTTATCATATAACATTTACCTTTAATAAATTTAGTATATTCAATGCCAAATAATATTATGAACTTGTTTTCATTGTCCGCTGTAGGCCTACGTTATTTGTTTACGTTTAAATCTAACAATGTTTTATTACCATTGTGCTATAATTTTATGTACCGGTAGTCATTTGTATGTAGGCCTATGTTTTAGACACATGCAGTTAGAAATCCGAAACACCACGCCGGGTGGAAAGTGGTACGTTGCAATTCTAGACTGGGTGTCCAATATGTGGGGATTTATTTTACTCGACCTCGATTTATTTACGAATCTTAGTCTTAGAGTTAAGTGCCATTTCCAGCCATATAGGCGTACCATAATTATAAATTGTCTTACAGCAGCCCCAGTGGCGTATCTAGGGGAGGGCGGGGGAAGATTTTCTAGGGGAGGGCGGGGAGAGTTCCCCCTCCCCCAAAATAAAGAAGAAAAACCATTGCGGAGAAAAAAGTGATATGCATTTTCTACTTATCAGTAGACAGTTCACCTATAAAATCGATTATATAAGCCAGGGAAACCCCTAAATCGTCATTTTCGGGGGCTTCGCCCCTGGACCACTTTCGAGGTATTTTGAACAACGCCCGACCGCGCCTACCTCGGGCCACCCCAGCATATTGCCCCCCCCCTAAAATTTTACCTTTTACCAATTTCCAGATAAGCAATCCCATTCACAAATGCCTCTGAAGGAAGAGATGGAGAAAATGTGATCGGTATTAATATATTATTATTATTATTATTATTTTATTAAACATTCCTTGAGTTGGAACTATAGTTGGAAGTGACCAGCAATTAATGCATGATATTACAGTATTTAACTTTATTTATGAATCAAGAAAAAGAAAAGTATGTTTAGTAACTATTGTGTTTTTATGAATTGTAAATCCCAAGTACCAAGCACCAAGACCTGATTCTTTATGATTCAGTTCATTGCTTCAATGAGAGGGAGATCGTGGCATAGGTGAGTGTGAAATACAAATGCACCGAATCGAATCTAATTTTCCTTTGTATCACCATACAAGGTTCCTGCCTCTATTGTTCTCTCCAACAATCAAAACCACAATTCGAGTTAACTTGCACGGATACGACGACTGGCTGTCATCAGGAGGTGTTGCGGTGCTGGTATAGTTGTGGTGGAACAGAGGCTTATAACATAATTTTACGTCAACTGAATTGTTGCTACGGTGAGTTTAGTAAAGTAATATATTGTTGATTTTGTTTTAAATTTTAGATTGCCTTATCTTCGAAAATAATATTAGTGTCATGGTGCGAGCAATGAGTGAAATTTCATTTAAGGCTCTAGACATTCTATTATGACTATTGCAAATGGGGTCTGCACCCATCCTGAACGAATGCCGTAGGCCTACAATGAAAGTACTTATTTATAGTTTCACCATAGAGGAGGAATGTTTCATCTTGTTATTTTTCCCGTACCTGTTACATGTTGGTACTGCGTTCACACAAAGAGTGATCGTGGACCCTGTTTATCTCTCGACGTTCTCCACTCCTCAAAAAAATAAACAAATAAATATCTCTCAGGGAAATTTACAAGAGCTCTCAAGAAATGTACCATGCATGCATCGGTTATAATAAGTTTGTGATGATTTATTATTTTATGTAGGTATATTCATAATATTATTCTTCCTCCATCTCTGCTCTCCAAACAAAACAAGAGACGTCAGGATGATGGGTCAGTTAATCTCCTCTAATTTAACACCACTTCAAACAGTACCAGCTAACAATCTTCAATCGTTCACACAAAGAAAACCCTTTAAATTGGACCCCGAACCCAGACCACCCAAATTTTCAGGTTCATTGGCGCTTGAATTGGACAGCCAACTAGTTGTAATTTATTTAGTTCAAGTTTTATTTCAAAATACCATCATAGTAGCTTTGCAGCTGAATTACGAATTCGGTTTACATTCGGTTGATATGAATATCCGATTCGGCACTGTAAGAACAGAATACTGAAATAAAATGTTCACTCTGCTTCCCCCCCCCCCTCTAATCGCGGGGCATTAGAGACAAATTCGAGACCACTAATTAAAAATACCAACTGTCGAACCTTCATTATTTTAATTAATACAAATGTAGCTCTCTAATTGGAGACGGAACCCCCAGACCACTCCTCATTTTAGGTCCCAAAGGTGGTCTTGAATTGGAGGTCGAAACATACTGACTCAATTTAAACTCTGAACAAATTGGCTGTGTCCAACATCCACGTCGGACTGGGAATAAATTTGTACAAACACTATCAACAATCAGTTGAGATACAGTACGTAGCCACAGTCTTGAAAGAGACTATTGTTGTTGTGGACAACTATACCTACAGAATTAGTTGTTATTCACCCTCTGATCGTGTTTATGTACTGTAGGCCTATGTCACATTGCCACGTACGCCACATTGTAGATGAATAGTGACGATACTATACTAAAGTTCGTCTTTAGAAATGACACAACAAAATTTAAAAAAATATGTTTGCTTTCAGAGGCACCCTTCAATACCAATTCTTATGTTGATAATATAGTAATCAATTACTTGTTCAACAGCTGATGATTCAGTGAATGACACATGTAAACAGGTGTGGAGATCAATATCGGAATGTCACTATTATGATATAGAAATGCTATTAGGAAGTTTGAACGGTGGTACAATTATTTTTGTTCAAAATTTAGATTCAAAAAAGTTATTAAGTTATTAATGATATTGCTATTGTCACGTTGATATAGGCCTATCACTGATTTTTTTTTTCTTTTTTTTTTTTTTTTACAAATCATGACGGCAAGGCGTTACTCTGTAACGTAGTATGATACGTTGCAGAGTGACATCTTGTCATGGTTTATCTAATCAAACAATTTGACAATATGTTACTCTGTAACGTATACCAGGGAGTTGTTAGCAACTCCCTGTATACATAGCCTACGTCAGTCTTTTAAAACTACTTGTATATTTAGTAACAATAAAGACGGATCATTTTGCTTTTAGTGTTAATACTGTACATAAATTAATAATATTTTTTTAGGTATACTGATGATTCAGTCAATGGCACATTTTTTCGCCTCATATACAGCAAGCAACATGCCAATTACAGGATGGAACAATGAATTTCTCTTTATTCCTTGTTTAATATAGTGGAGTTGTTTTTAGTCGTGAGATTAGAACAAACTTTAAAAAGATTTAACAATAACTGTAACGATAAAATAATCATCAAGGGTATTTCCACATTTAGAAGGCTTTGGAACAGTAATATAATATAAATAAGCAAATTGTGTATTAATATGGAACTTAACCTTAGAACACGAATCACAAAATATGCCACCAATATACTTGAAGAAATGATTATTCATTTTGAGGAAGGGAGGCTATTTACCAGAGAACAGAAGAAATTCACCTAAACAGTTTTATGACCAGTTCTCTGAAATGTAGCACATACACTAGATATCTTGTGTAAACAACTAGCTTTCGTATACTTTTTATTCAAAAGATAATCTTTTTTTTATTATTATGGTGGTATTGTGTGTTATTTATTATTATGTACCTTATATGCGTCAAAAGTAAACATATTTTATATAAAATGTATGCAATAAAGACTATTCTATATTAACTTATTTTGAAAGCAGCATATTTCAGTCGGCTAAACTACTATGTGTACGCTGAACAATGCAGATTCATTGTTAACCTATGTTATCTTGTTCACTTCACCATCTACTCTTATGTTTCAGCTGGAAGGCTGAGATGCAAGTATAAAAAAAGTCAGAGCTATATAGGGCCTACTATTCTTATTACAACTCTATGAAAAAATCGCACCGTCTTTCAGAAAAGACGTTTTGCAGTTGGTCTCATACACGTTAAAAAGTACAGTACAGTACACTCTTCGGAAAAAAGAGGGGATTTTCTCTCGGTGTACTGCCTAATCACCTTCAGGAGAACTTTCGCGGGTTACCCTTGGTATTCTCAGCCAAAACTTACAGTCCAACCAGGGAATACCACAATTATTATTTCTTTGAAACTAATTAATGGTTGATACTGCATGCCTGTTGGTACACAGTGAACAGTACTGCTAAAACCAATTTATTTGTTTAAATCTTCATCGATAATACTCATGAAATTGACCTAATCTATTTCAAACGACAGATATACACACAGCTTACAGTAGTCAATAGAAAGTAATCAATGTAAAGTCTACAGTATAAAGCTTTTGGAAGGCAAACAAGATTATTAGGCCTGAAAAGAATTTAGTGTTGAATACTATAGGTGAATTAAACGCTGCTGTATAGCCTTGGTTTGAGCATTGTCAATCGTAGAGTATCATGTTTTAATATAAGTCTTCTATTAAAATGTTTTTAAAGAAATCCCTATTATTTCCAGAAAGGACAAATTGCGGAATGACATGTCGATAAACGAAAGACGATACGCTGCCCAGGTATGTGATTTTTTTTTTTTTTTTTAGAAACAAATTTACAGTACCGGTATGTGCCTATAGCATCAATGATATGCATTGCCAGCGGAACAGCGGGTAGGGGTGGGGGAGGGGGCGTGTGGGCCAGTTTCCACCCCCCACTACATTTTGGCAAAATAATATATAATGTTTATGGAGATTTTTGTATGATCGGAAAGAAATGCAAGGAAAGAAAGAGGGGAGGAGAAGGAGAGGGAAAAGAGAGTGTTTATCCAGTCGATCCCCGACCGAGCTACATTTTCTCGCAATTCACATTGGCGGATCTGGGGGTCAAGGGTCTTGACCCACTCCCTTGAGCAAAAAAAAAAAGCAAAAATATATTTTAAAAGAAAGAATTCTATGACCTACTTTTTTCAGGACCCGTGAGCTGATTTTTTTTTTCACAATAAGAAAATAAAATTCGGGAAAGCTCATTTCTCCCCATCAAGAAATCATAATTTTCTAGGGGAAGACACCCGACCCCTTTTATTCTCAGGTTCGTCGATTCATGGAAAAAAAGAATAGTAGGCCGATGCAATGAACGAATGTATACCGGTACACACATAATAAGCCTATTTACAATAAGAATGAGAAAAATTTACCTAACCGTTTTCAAGTGGAAAATCCTTGAATTTTGAAAAACTTAAATGTCATTAAAAGACACTTCAGAATTCGGGAAAGCTCATTTCCAGCCATTTGGAAATTGAAATTTTCCCGGAGAACCCGGGCCCCCTTTCTCTTCGGGAATCATCGATTCATGAAATCGTTATCAAGAGTGGTAAATCTTGAATTTTGATGAACTTATAAGTCATTAAAAGACACCTCAGACGTCAGGAAAGCTAATTTCCCGCCATATTCTAGGAATCAAAATTTTGGACCCCATTTCTCTTTGGGGTTTATCGATTCAAGGAAAATAGAATACGTATGCAACTACTCAATTTTTCATGTATGTATACACACACATAACCGGCCTATTTACTGTAATAAGGATAAGAGTTCACCTGACCGTTTTTAAGAAGAGGGGGAAAATCTTAAATTTTGAAGAACTTTAAAGTCATTAATAAAAGGCACCTAGATCGATAGTCGGGAAAGCTCATTTCCCGCCATCTTGGAACCAACATTTTTCCCGGGGGAGACCCCTTACTTTTTAGGGGTTTTTTTTAAGGACCCCCATCCCCTAAATTTGAACCCAGATCCAACTGATCTTACTAGTGGGCCACCCACATTTGAAAAACCGTTCCGCCGGCCCTGATATGAACATTTATTGTACATGTGTTGAAAAATATATAGATGATTACAGTAGCACAGTCAGTAGTGGCGCCAGCGGGGGGGGGGGGGGGGGGGCCCCCGGCGGCCCCCGTCGGAGAGAAAAGCCACAATTCGTCGGGGAGAAAAAGAAATTACCTGTATTTTCTGCATTTTAATAGACTCTAAAATCGATTAAATATTAAGCCTTTGAAACCCCTGAATTGTCAAATTTACGGGGAAAATCCTTGCGCCACCCTTGACCACAGTCAGAAATATTTGGCAAGATGATGAAAAGACTATTTTTGAATGCTAATGTTTGACACCGGTCTCGTCTTTATACTAATATTAATCTCCAACGCTTTATTTAATATCAATACTACAAACTAGATTCTGTGTGCGCTGATTGCATAAAAATAACTTAAACTAACAGATCGAAAGAGAGCAAATAATCATTTCATGGAGAAAATTAGAAGGCCAGATAGGCGTAGTTGATTTAAATGAAAATATCATTTATCGTTTACCGCGCTGTACTAGTATATTTTCTCATAGAGGGTTGTGGGGGAGGGGGTTGGTTCCGCAGAGCCCCCTATTGACTAGCTTACTTCTGTAGTAGTAGTTTATCATAACTTCGTTTATTAAAAGAAACACTTCTGAGTTATATTAATTTGTCCTTTTTATTTTTGATGTAGCACATTAAAACTATCACTAATGACAGCCGTAAACTGACTACTGGTGACGTCTTGAAAGATCTTAAGCGTCTGGATGAGGCCGGTGAGGTCTGCCATCAAGATGTTGTTTTGGAATTGTTAGAAGGTGAAAGAAAGCTGAATATGATTGACAAACTGCGGAAGGTAAACTGCACACAACATCACAAATATTTCCAGTGGTATAAAAACATCATTTCTATATCAAAACATAATTTTTTTTTAATTCGTAAGCCCATTTTTATATAGGCCTATATTTCGTTCTATGCAGTATTTTACTGTTATATTTAATCACAGTAATTAAGCTTATACTGATTTTGTTATTGCTGCGCATCCTTTACGGTTGTGCCTCTGTTACAAAAAAGAAGCAATAACGTAACTTACTTACTTAGATAAAATACACAAATAATAATAGAGATAGCATTAATATAAAATATAATGATAATTAGTAGGCCTATTCTGTGAATGGTTCTGCAATTTAGACTAAAAGTTTAGAAACTTACATGACTGTTTCGGTCGCTGGCAGCTACCATTATCATTATGATATGAGTATGATCAAATCATTCATGATTGGTAGTAAAAAATTGGTAGTATCATATCAGTATATCAAATCTTGTACCATATCAGATATCATATATAACATAGCATATAGCATAGTATATCATATCATATATCAATCATATCATTTGTCATATAAAATATAATACTGTATATTAATATAATCGTTTTTCATAAAATTATTAATCTGGTTCATACTATTGTTACTATAGGCCTAGCACTATATTTCAAAATTATGATGGTATGTTTTTCTCTGACAGGATGTAATTTCGACTTTTAAACTTAAATATGTTTTGCATGCCGAGACACTGACTACAGAGGCACATAAAGGCCTTATTATATTATATGCAAAAACTGGAAAGCGTACATCAGATATTTTGATATTAAAATGCACAGAAACTATGGTAAGAAAGCTCATCCTCTATAATGCCTTTCCTTTTCTTAGATTCCATAAATATATTAATAATTATAATATAAACAGTATCAATGTTTCTAATACACAAATGACATTTTTTTTTTTTACTTTTTAAATTATGATCTTTGTTATTCTATGAGATTTCAGTTTTCCAACTCCTACAATTATTTTATTTTGTTTTTCCCTTTTTAATTCTTATGGCCTTTCTTGTAGAATCGAATAAATTTAGCCATTGATGTTATGAGTAATCATGTTATTATATTTTCAAATTGTCTGGGAGGAATGAAAAGTGCCGTAGTATGACAAGAGTATTGTGTGAGAACTATCACAGTTATGGTGAAGTTAGATTTGCTTGTACGACAGCACACATGTGTCCCAGGAACCAATGAGTTGATCTGAAGTTTAAAACACAGAAAACACTATATGAAGTGTTTTTTTCGAAAGCACAAGCTTTAGAAAACTGCATGGCCTGGTAATTGTTAAGATATATTCATGGCTAGAAAAAAAATTTTAAAAGACATTTTTACAATATTCATTTTAGGAGAAATATTTTATATATAAGGTAATGCAATAATTGTAAGCTTCTATACTTGTTTTGGGTAACCATTCGCACAAATAGTTAACACAAGGAGCCACTCAATGACCGCCTACCAAGAGATTTAAAGTTTTGCTTAAAGTGGAGGTCCGGCGACGGATGTTCTCTTTATTTTCTTTTGAAGTAGATCGATTTGAAGAGATCTTGTGAAAAATCATGATGAGAACATAGAAAAAACAACTTCCCAATATTACGTTCTAAGAACGTTATAATAACGTTACAGTTTGGTGATAAAAAGGTTATTCTGTAGAACCATATGTACGTACTTATATCCTAAATTCACAACCTCACAACGTTTAAACGCTCTTACAACGTTGTGTGAACGTTTTTTTGTGACATCTAACCACAACGTTCGCGAACGTAATACGAACGTTTTGTGTTTGCTGGGTGGTAAAACAAAGTGTTATTAATTTCTAGTAGTTTGGTAATAATAGTTATGGTATTCTTGGACTGTACAATGTTTTAAATAGTGGAGTAACCTTGAAACCATTTTCCGTTCTGGTTCTTGTGGGTAAAGCCAACTCCTTTTTAATCCAAAAGTTTAGGAGTAAAACAGGAGGGGTAGAAATATAGTCGAATGATAGGAATGTTTCACCATTGCAGTTTAAGACACGCAGCGTCAGTCATAAGCAGTCTTGCCTTACCGCTCCAGGCACATTGGACCTGATAGGGAGGAAACTCACAATCACTCCTCCCCATCACGCGAGCATCGGCTTTGCGAAGAAAAAGCACATTTATTTGTGAAACTCCGGAGCGTTTACAGGTAGAGTAAGCGAAAATTACACCTCCAAGAAGGAAGAGAACAAATGAAGATGTTAGAGTAATACACGATACAATAAATAAGGAACATTTTAAATCCTTCGAAGAAATATTGTGTATTCTGCGATTATGTCTATTTGTCGGAGCCCCGCAAGTAATTTTCCAGACTATCGATGCTTGGTTAAAATGGTCCTGCCACTATATTTAAGTTAGGCCTAACTTAGTTTCTTTAAAGCCCTACTACTTAAATATCTCTAGGAATAACCAATCGTTAATTGTTAAGGGTTTCTGTGAAGAAATTTCAATTACTAAGACAAGATACAGACCACGAGCTCTGGTTCCTTACAATCTCTGTCTAAATGTAGTGCTGTCTCTTATACACATCTAGATGTGTATAAGAGACAGATATATATATATATATATAATATTAGTTTGACGCAAGTAACCGCCCATGGAAATTTATAAAAAGCAAGAATCTGATGTACAGTACTGTATGTGTACTGTTATGATTTATTATCGACTCAAATACCGAGAAAGGATAGGCATAAACTGAGTAATGTTGCATGCAGCAACAGTGCGTTTCCACGTAAACCATACCCAGGTAAAGTTAGTTTTGACTAAGTATTATTCAATATATATTCAAATATTGATATTCAATATAATTTATTGTTAAACGTATTGATAGATTACCTAGCAACAGTAGTATAAAAATATCAAGTGGGGATTATTTGAAGATTACATAAAATTACGTAATTCAAAAAAAGAAAAATTTGAGTAAACTCACATAAAAATGATAATTAATTATCACTATTTTCAGTACGGTTGACACACAAAAGCATGTAAATTTTGACTATGTAATTTCAGTTACCCCCCCCCCCCCACGTGAAAATTGGCCTCTTTTTTATCTTTAATTTACCTTACCAACACTCACACGAACTCCCAGAATGGGTGAATATCATTATTTTAGAGTAATTAAACAGAAAATAAGTGAAAACATGTGCCCGGAACTCATCTTTAAGAACAATTGAATCATAAGTCGGTTAAGAAGTACTAAAAAAGTGAAACGTGAAACAACCTGTAGTACAGTATTTCCTATAAGAACATCAAAGATATCTGGATGGGAGGAGATGTATGATTTTGAGAAGATTGAAGATCGTGTAGTACCACCAAAAGAACTGTTTGAACGGAGTAAGGCTCGTGGAATCTGTTTCATGATGGTATCTGTAAAAGACACTAGGAAGCAAATACGTGACACTACGACCGACCAGAACGTCCAGCAACACGTCTATAAATTCTATCAAGCAGAAATATATTAGGTCACCAGCACAGATATAAATACAGAATTCTAAAACACGTTTTTTGGACACGTACTAATAATTTGATTGGTATTATTTTGAAGTTTATACAACAAGATGGTCACCAGTAACGTTGAAACTAACCAATGGTCTGCGAATGATGTCGGATACTGAATTCTTTTGAAATATAAAAAAAAACAGTATTTGAAACATAGTTTTTTTCAACAACATGTTGTTGCTATATTATACTAATGCTTTCGGCGTCATGGTTAACTCCTTATAAACTCAACCTATATCATGAGCCTACACTTCTGACATCCTAAGTTCAAGTACATTCATTTTTTAATATATTTTACCATTTCTTTTATCTAGGCAAGCATCGTAGTAAATGATCTCAATCGGTCAGCAAGAAAACATTCATTAGCAAATCGGTAAATACCATTATATGATATTGATCACTATGTCAACTAAGTGCATTTTCGAAGCTTTTTAAACTCTCAGTTTACATCTTTTAAATACATATTATAGTTCACATCCTATAAATTATATATTTCGAGCATTCCTGTGCTCTTACTCATTGATAACACAATTGTTTTTTGAAAGTTCCTCTGGCTTAAATTAAGGCCCTGGTCGCTTGCTGTTCCAAAAAATAATCGAATAGAACTCGAAGTTTTATTTAAATATTGTTTGTAGTTCTCGGACAATCTCTGTCTAAATGTAGTGTATGTGGAAAACATTAATCAATCCATAATCCTGTCAATGTATTTTTGCACTTTCGATCAACCTTTCTCAGAAAAGCTGTTTCCTTTCGTACGGCATCACTTTCTTCTTCAACAAGCTCATCAGGTTCTGAGCAGGGAACTTCGTCTAGAATGATTCCTATTGCAGAAAAACCAGATCCACCAGTCCAAGAAAATTACCGCCTGGCTCAAGTTCATGAAGATTTCCTTGGTCGTACAGTTCAGGAGTTGTCGGTCAGATCCGGCGAACTTGTAAAGGTATAAATTATTTTGTGAAATTGTTTTGTTTATTTATATAGTGCTGATTCTTTGCAAATACGAAGCGCTTTTGTCCATGGTCATTGGGTCCACAAGGGTTGCTGCGGTAATCAGTGCAGGAGCAGGCACCCCCACCAGGTACCCATTTTGTACTCTAAACACAAGTTAGACTAACCGATATGGTTTATAAACATATTCGTGTGTTTACGATTAAACGTAACCATTAAAGGACATTTTAACTACAAAAAACATGGTAAAAACTAAATCGATTCTCTTCTTCAAGGTTCTAGATTCTTCAAGAAATTGGTGGAAAGTGTCTGATCAGTTTAATAATGTAGGCTACCTACCCTGTACAATCATGGCGTACGTAAAACTAAACAAACGGCGAAGGAGCAGTACAAAATCAAATAATCGCTGATGATAGACTCTTGCGAAATGCTAGTGCGCATGCACATAGTTGTTTCTAATTAGTGTGTGGTTCATTTTGTGTATATAATATATATATATATACATATATATATATATATATATATATATATATATATGTATATATATTTTTATTATATCTGTATGATTGTATTAATGTTAGCGTATGTTTGGGATAATTTCAAACATTTATTTTTTTCTCGATGAATTATGTGAACGAAATGGGACATAGGATAATAAAACTATCAATTTTAATAATCTATCAGTATAATGTTAAATTAATGATATGTCAATAGTGTAATGTTGGTTAAGAATATTCATTTTGCTAATAATCTTTTCAGGTTTGAGATAAAACGATGCAGGTAACGGATCATATTTATTAGTTGATTAATTAATTTTAAAACACAGTGTGAGTTGAATTTTTGATTCCTCATTTTCTTTACAAATTGACAAGATTTTAGTATGTTCTGTTCGGGACCATTCTCAGTCTTTAAAACCGTTCGATTCATCAATGATGACAATTGACTTGAATTTGTTTGCCTTATTAATTATTTATAATGGTGAGAGTGGACGAGGTTGAACACATTAGGAAGCTTGTAACGTATGTGGTATCCGACGACAAAGGAAAACAAATGCACCATAAGGGTTGATCAAATGAGATGCTCTCATTAGAAAAGATTATGATGATAATTATTATAATAGTAATATAATTAATAATATAATGTAAATAATATTAATATATAATATTAATAATGATAATGATTACGATGTCTTTGATGATTATATTGTAATAGAATACTAATACATATACATATACATAGTAAAACGCGTATGTGTTAAGTTGCCACAACTATTAAATAAATACGGTAATGTATATTAGCTGTTACGGAAACAGTGGCTTACGTAACAAAAAGCTCGTAACAAATGTGCTAAAGTATTTAAAAGTCACCTCCTACCACATTATTGTGCCAGGTAGCCCCAACCCCCTCTCACTTTATCATATCTCACTTCACATACATACCCCAGCCCCATCACCCCTTATTACAATGTCCCTAGGTACGCCAGTGGCAAATAATAGAAACAACATTTCAAAACAGAAATTATACAATAGACAGTTGTAATGATATTTTTATGAAACAAATTTTCTAACTTTAATAACCATAAAAATAATAATTTGAAAGGTAATGGGATTATTTCACCAAAAAAGAAACAGAAACCATCAGGCCTAATTGATAATATTATTTTCACATCTATTGTTTGGCCTTGTTTTATATATTGCCGTTTATATGAGCATGGAGTTATGAGGTGATTAACCTTTTCCCTTTACACGAGAGAAACAATAAATTACTAATGACAAAAAAGCCCCATTACTGTGGATGTCATCAGACAATTTTTAAATAAAACTCGGGACATTCAGTTGCAATATCAGTATTTTCAAAATGAACATACAGTAAGCAGGCACTCGGGTCTCAGATTAGAGCCTCTTAAACTAATAATTTATACAGGCGAACTAAGTATATTGACGTTAAAAAAAAAAAAACAATAAAGGCGAATGACTGAATGTTTTTATGTTCTCTTAAACATATAGATTTGTGTGTCCTTACCATTATGCACATTTTGTTCAAAATATTAATTTGCCTCTGGTTTGATCAAGCGTCAAGCTTATCATCTTGATTTATGAAATGCCATGCTGAACAAAGTACAGGCATATCTTATTGTTTGTTTGTTTGTTTGTTTTATTGGTTTTCCCACACACAACTTAAAAAAGTACAATGAATTCAAACATAACTAACATTACAAAAGTAGAGGAAAAAAAAAAAATATATATATATATATATATATAATATATTATAAATCATCAAAGGTACATATAAAGTGTTTAAATAAGGACATGATGGAACATCGTAGGCTACCCTGTAGCTTTTCAACGAATAAAGTCCTATAAAGGTCATGTGTAATAAAATGCCTCCGACGGGATTCGAACCTGCGACCTCTCGCTGACATGGCGAGCGTCATAACCACTAGACCACGAAGGCTTCATTGTTGAACAGGTCTAAATAACCGTCGGGAACATTATGTACTACACAATGCTACGCCTCAAGAGGGCGTTCGG